CTGGGAATCAGCCATAGCTGCTTGCTCCGCCCTGTTGATTCCGAGACCCCGCCCCATCCAGGCTGCTGCAAAGCCTTTTGCATATGAATGCCCGGGTCCTTTCCAACCTGACAACTACCTAACAAATTGCAGCTGGGCCAGACAGACCCAGAACTTCCAAGAGAAGGCCCAAGGCCCCACAGCAGCTTGCATTGCTTCTCAGCTGGGCCTCATCTGGGCACCCCCAAACCCCCAAAAAAGGAAGGGGAATCTGCATATCTCTTCATAGCTCCTGCTGGGTAACCTCAGGAAGAGGCTTAATTAGCACCTCCTTAGATCCAAGAGCCAGTGTACCCAGTGGTCAGAGTGGGACCACCCAGATTACAACTCCTCAGATTCATAAGGAACACACTCAGGGGGCAGACTCAGTGAGCACCAAAGCCCCACTGAAGCAAGTCTTGCCCCAGAAGGGTGTCTTCAGCACAGAAGTTCTCCCACTGCAGACACAGCTGATTCTCACTGCCAATTGGCCTGGAGGTCAATTCCTCCCAGTGACACCTAAAACAATCAAGGCATAACTACAACAAGACTGTGCACAAAGCCCACAAGGGGGTGCACCAAGAGTGTCCACCTCAGGTAACTGGGGAGGCTGAGCCACTGGGCCCTGTAGGACACCTAGCACACAAAACCACTCTACCAACACAGGGAAGCAGACAAAATGCGAAGACAAAGAAACAGGTCACAAATGACAGAAATGGAGGACAGCAAACGACTGGATATAGAGTTCAAAACCACGGTTCTAAGATTTTTCAAGAATTTTATGGAAACCGCCGATAAATGTATTGAGATCCTTAAGAAATCTAGTGAGACCCTCGATGTTGTGATAAAGGACCAACTAGAAATTAAGCATACACTGACTGAAATAAAGAATATTATACAGACTCCCAACAGCAGACCAGAGGATCGCAAGAATCAAGTCAAAGATTTGAAATACGAAGAAGCAAAAAACACCCAACCGGAAAAGCAAAATGAAAAAAGAATCCGAAAATCCGAAGATAGTGTAAGGAGCCTCTGGGACAGCTTCAAGCGTACCAACATCCGAATTATAGGGGTGCCAGAAGAAGAGAGAGAGCAAGATATTGAAAACCTATTTGAAGAAATAATGACAGAAAACTTCCCCTACCTGGTGAAAGAAATAGACTTACAAGTCCAGGAAGCGCAGAGAACCCCAAACAAAAGGAATCCAAAGAGGACCACACCAAGACACATCATAATTAAAATGCCAAGAGCAAAAGACAAAGAGAGAATCTTAAAAGCAGCAAGAGAAAAAAAGTCAGTTACCTATAAGGGAGTACCCATACGACTGTCAGCTGATTTCTCAACAGAAACTTTGCAGGCCAGAAGGGAGTGGCAAGAAATATTCAAAGTGATGAATAGCAAGAACCTACAACCAAGATTACTTTATCCAGCAAAGCTATCATTCAGAATTGAAGGTCAGATAAAGAGCTTCACAGATAAGGAAAAGCTAAAGGAGTTCATCACCACCAAACCAGTATTATATGAAATGCTGAAAGGTATCCTTTAAGAAGAGGAAGAAGAAGAAAAAGGTAAAGATACAAATTATGAACAACAAATACACATCTATCAACAAGTGAATCTAAAAATCAAGTGAATAAATAATCTGATGAACAGTATGAACTGGTGATTATAATAGAATCAGGGGCATAGAAAGGGAGTGGACTGACTATTCTTGGGGGGGAAAGGCGTGTGGGGGATGCAGGAAAAGACTGAACAAAAATCGTGCACCTATGGATGAGGACAGTGGGGGGGGTGAGGGCGGAGGGTGGGGTGGGAAACGGGTGGAGGGGAGCTATGGGGGGGAAAGAGGAACAATTGTAATAATCTGAACAATAAAGATTTAATTTAAAAAAAATTGCCAAATTTATTCATATTCTTATACTACTTTTGACAGTCTAAAAATATAATGATTATTAAAATTCAAATTTAGAACAAATACTAGTTCATGTCAGTTGCTGGTATTTACAAAACTAGGTGTTTAGCTCACCAGGCAGTTTAAATCATTTACATAATATTGTAAACCAAGCCAGACAAGGGAAAGAAGCAGAGGGTGGAAAGCTAATGTTCACTGGAAGTACAGTATACCTGAGTGAGGGTATTCCTGGGTGGATCTTTTTTTTTTTTTTAATATATTTTATTGATTTTTTTACAGAGAGGAAGGGAGAGAGATAGAGAGTCAGAAACATCGATGAGAGAGAAACATCGATCAGCTGCCTCCTGCACATCTCCTACTGGGGATGTGCCCGCAACCCAGGTACATGCCCTTGACCGGAATCGAACCTGGGACCTTTCAGTCCGCAGGCCGACGCTCTATCCACTGAGCCAAACCGGCTTTGGCTCCTGGGTGGATCTTGGCCAAATGGGTGTTTCTGTGTCACATCTGTGCTCAGAGAGCCTTCACTCCCTTTGTTTTCCTGGCCCCTTCTACTTCTCTTGCCCTATCTTACATTCTTCTGATCTCTTCATTCTCTGTACAATTGAAAAGCTACTAAAATCCACCAGTAAGCAAGATATTTCAGAATTCACTTCACCCATCATACACAGTCCTGAATGCTAGGTTACTTAATCTTTACGAAGAAAATTTGAAAAATTCTTCCCACTGTCAGGTGGAATGAAGAGATAGAAAACAAAACCACAGAACTGGAGATTTATCCTTGACTTGTTGGATGTAAGATTTTTTTTAGTTTTACAAAAGAGGAATCTTTCCCATCTCTCTTCTTTTAGAGCCTCCCCTTCTCTTTTTAAAGGAGTGAGAAACTTTAAATAAAACGAGATAAAAGACAAAAGTATAGGACAAAAATTTAACAAGTAAAAATTTATGATACTTCATACACAGAGAGAAATTAGATAGTATGTTGTTATATTTTTAAAATTTTAAATACGTACATAGTTTACTTAGTATCTTTTAGGTGCTTTACAGGGGTAGGCAAAAGTAAGTTAAATTATTAGTCATTATTACCTAAAAGATAAATCATAAGTAAGGATATGAAATAATAATAATAAATAATACAATAATTAATAAATAATAATACAAGAATAAACTTTTTCATGTACTTACAACTGTAAACCTAATTTTGCCCTCCCCTGTATACATTCCAGGACCCTGGACTCAAAACAGAAATGAAAAGTTGAAATTTATAAACAATTCTATTATATGTCTTTTGTACCCACTGAAAATTCTAGTATATAAATGTTACATTCAATTCCAGAATTATCATTAAAAAGCAATACATGATTCTGGACAGGACCCTTTTGCTATATAGAACATTATTGGGACAACTGGTGAACGCTGATGAAATCCCGGCTAAAATGGAAGTAATGTGTCAATAATAATCCCCTGAGATTTGTGGTCAGATTATGGTTATGTAGGAGAACATATAGTTTAAGAAAATATACAATAAAGTATTTAAGAGTAATCTGGTATCATGTCAACAACTTATTCTCAAAAGTTTCTGGAAAAAAGTTTCTAGTAGAGTTTTTGAACTTTTGTGTATATTTGTAATTGTTCCTAAAAAGAAAACATTTTTAAAAACCTAAATAGTAAAAAAATATAAACAGTTAGAGTTCTGAGTTTTGTATGAACTGCCTCAGTACCTTTTCTGATATATCAAATATTAAATCCCCCTCTCTATCTTTTCTGTAACCTTAAACTATTTTCACCTTGTTTACTGCTCCATCCAAGCCAGAAAGAAGGGTGAGGGAAGAGGTAGTTCAGAGATTTTTTTTGTTACGCACCAAAGGGTCTGCTAATTCAAGATCTGTAAGGTCAATACAACTCTCTCTACAGAGACATAAATTCATAAGACAGAGATCCTAAACTGAAAATTTGTAATTAGGCAAGTGCTTGCACATAAAAATAAACTCAGTGATAACAATTTGTTGAAACTCTTTAAAAGGGTAGGAATTATTAGGTTAAAATATGTGGCAGGGTACCAAACAACATTAATAGGAAGCATATTTGAAAAAAAAATGTGTATCTTACTTACTGTAAATTTGCTAACACCCTCAAGTTCTCCAAATCGCATGTAAGAGATGTCTGCCTTCTTTCTTCCAACATCCATATCCCCTGTATAGATCTGTTTTATGCCTGCACCTTTAATTAAAGGTACACACTCATCACATGGGCACTTTGTCACAAAAATCATACTTTTTTCTTCTGGTTTTATTTCTTGACACCTACAAAAAGTGTATAAAATATTAAAAGGGTAGTTTCTGAAAGGGTAAGTTATATTTCAGAGAAATCTTTAAAAACTAAAATGTCTGCTTTAAGAGCAGATTTATAACATTATAAACAATAAGTGAAACTTATTCTTTCTGAATTAGTGAGTGTTCAAAATCTAAACTCATAAATGTTAAAATATAACCTGAACATGACAATTATTATAAGCAAAATTTACTTATTCTAAGCAATCTGGCAAGTTTTCAGTATTATATTACAAAGTAAATGAAAACAGTAGAAGAGAGAGAGAGAGAGAACACAATGTTCTCTAAGTAAGTACTTCTTTATAATGCCAAATCAGGGGCCAGAACTAACACCCCCTTAACAGTTTATGATGTCTAATTAGACATTAACTCATGGTAGCCAAAAGAACTATCCCCTTATCTGGTACCTAATGGATATTTAATAAATGCTTACTAAACTAATAAATTACTGTCATCCCTTGGTTTTGCGGACATCGATTTAACAGACTTTGGATTTAACGTACAAAATTTCCATTAAATCTCTGTTAATTTTAAAATGCTTTTAACCAAGATTTGCTTATAATTAACAGGTTATCCTATATAATAAAAGCCTAGGTGGTGTTGCACAACGTCATCACAAGATGGCCATCCCCATATTGTCACAAGATGGCCACCACAACGTGGTCACCACAAGATGGCCGGCAGGGGAGGGCAGTTGGGGACGAACAGGCCAGCAGGAGAGGGCAGTTGTGGGCGATCAGGTGGGCAGGGGAGGGCAGTTGGGAGTGAGACCAGGCCGGCAGGGGAGGGCAGTTGGGGGCCATCAGGCCAGCAGGGGAGGGCAGTTGGGGGTGATCAGGCTGACAGGGGAGCAGTTAGGGGACGATCAGGCAGGTAGGCAGGCGAGCGGTTAAGAGCCAGCAGTCCCAGATTGTGAGAGAAATGTCCCAGATTGGAGAGGGTGCAGGCCAGGCTGAGGGATACTCCCCCCGCACCCCCTCGTGCACAAATTTCATGCACCAGGCCTCTAGTTTGCTTATTATTAACTCACTGTTATTTTTAACAAATTTTAGCGAATAGGCCATATGTTGGAAAAAAACACTGTAATAATTTCACCAACATAAATAAATATTACATACCTACAACTATAGTCTACATATTTAAATCCAAGAGTCACTGCTCGTAAACAATATTTGGTGAATGAATAGCACATGATCACACCACATAGTACATGGTGATTGGTTCCGTTGTTGCATGGCGTGACTTTCTGCAGCATAACATGTGCTAGCTGATGTTTCCACATGTATTAAGCCACACCCCAGCCGTGTGCATTTGTTTACACTCGATGACTGCTGAATGCAGGCATTTACTAGATCTATTCAGTATAAATTTAAAATTACAGTAATACATATAGAAAACTTTTCTGTGAAATTAAACTTTCCACACACTTAATTTTAATTATACAAAAGTGTCTACATAAGTAAAAATTGGTAAACTAATTTGTCAATTTTTTAACATACACATTCAAAAAACCTATTTTATTATATAACTAGAGGCCCAGTGCATGAAAATTCATGCACTGGAGGTGGGGGTCCTTCAGCCCGGCCTGCCCCCTCTCACAGTCTGGGAGCCCTCAGGGGTGGGAGACCTGGCCATCAGGGGAAGGCGACGCCCCATCACACCTCTGCTGCTGTCACTGCCGTCAGCGCAAGCCTTGGCCAGCCCTGGTTACCTGAGCCTCGGACGGCCCCGGGCGGCTGGGGGCAATTTTATGCACCTAACCTATTCAAACAATATACCCGTAAAGTAAGCAATCAGTACTGTGAATCTCTCAATGCCATTCCATTTTCCCAAATGAAGTCTAACCTCACAGTCTTCCCTATATAGTCCCAACCTAATCCCAGGAGCTCCATGGTCCAGCCTAACTGGAGCTGCATGTTCCTACACATAAGCTTTTTTCCTACTTCAAGACTACTGCTATGCCCGAAGCAAGAATGACTTCCCTGTAAGTACCTCCAATTGTCACAATCCTACCAAAACCTTCAAAGCTCAGCTGAAATGCTAGCTTCTCCATAAAGCTTTTCCCTCCCAATCCCCTCCATCCATAACAGCCCATGAATTTCGACAGCACTTGGGTTGGGTGAATGCACTATTACATTCCCTGTATCACATAGTGTGTTACAAGCTCTTAAGGATAGGAGCAATATTTTATTCAGTTTTGAATACCCTAAGATCACCCCCTTCATGATTAATTCTGAGAAATGTTTGCAGAAATAATCTAAATTAACATCAGAGGAGGAGGTAATGCCAGGTATAACCTCTAACAAAAACTATGTTAAAGCAATTTAGTTCATAATAAAATCTATATATTCATAAAAACAAAATATGTGCTTTAGATTTTGAAAACAAAGGACAGCTTACATTCCAGAAATATACAAGACCCTAAGAATACACTTCATGCCATTTTATATTAGAGAGTAAGGAATAAGGAGGAAAAAAAGATTGCTCAATAAATCTGCCCACAGTATCTCTGATGATGGCCTCAGGTCAGGCAGCAAAGACCAAGTATAACCAAAGTTATACTTCTAAAGAGTATTTCTTGGAATAATAAAAATTTGAAAAAGGAAATAAATTGCAGCTAAAAGTAAACTAAATTCAGCCCTGGCCGGGTGGCTCAGTTGCTTGGAGCATTGTCCCATACACCAAAAGTTTGTGGGTTCAATTTCAACTAACCCTTGCTACATTTTAATGAAAATAAATGCAAAGGAATTTCATACCTAAAGGTCAAGGCATTCTGTTCCGCATGGACAATGTATCTGAATTTCCTTATTTCTCTGTCTTTCTGTTTGTCATCCATGTTTGGGAAGTCAGCATACTCAGATCCAACAGGAAAAGCATTATAACCACATCCTATGAAGTACATCATGCCTGTCCCATCGCAATTTTGCTACGAAAGGGAGCAAACCAACAAAACTTAGTTTTCAACAGTCTGAAAAGGCAGTTTAGTATCATACGTTGTATAATGAATTCAATTTTCTATGAAAAACTGAACCATCAAAAAAAAATATAATATTAAGTCCTCCAACTGCAGTGTGGTCTTATCAAAGCTAAATTTCAAGAAGGCTGATCATCTTTCTAACATATAATCTCAAGGCAGAATTGGTTTTAGCAGTTAATTAAATAGTAGCTTGTCTAATTTCACCAATTGTTTCATTTGATTCAGACAGCTCTCCTAAAACAGGTTATAAGATGCTGGAAAACAGAAATCATGCTTTCTTCTTTCTTTCTCTTAGAGTACACCTATTAGAGTGCTTTGCATATTAAGAGTTACTCAATAAATGACTGTTAATTTCTTATATGCTCTGTGCTGTTACTGGTTAGCAAGCCAGAAATTTAAAACATATTTTGAGCAATTTCTGTTGTTGGGCTAAAAATGTGCTAATATGATATAGTCGAAAAATAAAAATTTCAGTTTCTCATAATCTTCAACAATTATTGAGCCCCTATTATATGTGTATGTATTATCATACGACTTCTTATTTCACTGGTTCTTCTTTATTTCTCCTGGTCAATGGCATATTAGGTATTAATATGAATGTTTTATCAATTATTAGAGTGAAATATTTTATAAATCACAAGTATTTATAGTAGTTTGGAATATGCTATAATAAACCTCACTAAATTTCAATATATTATAATTACTCATGTGAAAGTATCAACAGACTCATTACTGTAGTAGCTTGATGAAAATCACTGTTACAGTGAGCAAACAAAAGCTTACAAATAAATGATCTCATTAATAACAAATTATTATTGAGTACTTACTGTCAACATCATGCTGAGTTTTATTTATTTTTTATTTTTTTAAAATATATTTTATTGATTTTTTTACAGAGAGGAAAAGAGAGGGATAGAGAGTTAGAAACATCGATGAGAGAGAAACATCGATCAGCTGCCTCCTGCACACCCCCTACTGGGGATGTGCCCGCAACCAAGGTACATGCCCTTGACCGGAATCGAACCTGGGACCCTTCAGTCCGCAGGCCGATGCTCTATCCACTGAGCCAAACCAGTTAGGGCATCATGCTGAGTTTTATATGTATTATTTCATTTAATCAATTTCCACATCCTAGAGAACAGCAGTACTACCATTATTCCCATTTTATGGATAAGGAAACTGAAGCCACGGTCACAAAACTATTAACTAACAGGTGAAATTCAAGCTCAGGTTGACTCCAAACCCACGTCTTTGCACTTTACCATGCTGTGTACACTATAGGTAATTTGAAAGGAAACTTAAATTCTCCACAAAATAGTCAAGAACACTCAGATCTTAAGCTAGAGGCTGCTGAGCATTCATATAAACAAGACAGAGAATTCCTGACATTGTGAACCTTACAATCTAGAGATGATAAGAAACTGGACGCATAATTTTAACTGTGATGAGTGATACAAATGAGCTGTACAGAACACTGTGAAGTTTTTGGTAGAGGAACCTAGCTAGTGTTAACAGCTGAGTAGAGTTAAGAGATATTTTGAAGGTGGAGCCCACAGTACCTGGTGATTAATTGAATGTGTGGCATTAGAAGGAATGGGATGGTGACCACTGATGAAGAAATAGGTTAGCAGGGAAAATACTAGATGTACTGGCTACGATGAACTTAAAGGATTTATGAAACATCCTGGCAAATAGTCAAATTACTTGCTATAAAGTCTATGGAAACAAAATTTAGGCTCCTACACATAATTACTAAGAACTATCTCTTGATTCTGTGCTCTCCTAACCCATCCCCATAATTCTAAGCCCTCATCATATTTTATATGAGTGCCCCTATTTCCTGTCTAGCCCCACCTCATTATTATTATAATGCAAATCTAAACCAAACATTTTACCACTTAAAAGATTCTTGGATTGGCCTGGCCACTGTTGCTCAGTGCTAGAGTGTCGGCCTTGCACCCAAGGTTCGTGGGTTCAATTCCTGGTCAAGGGGATGTACCTGGGTTGCAGGTTTGATCCCTGGCCCCAGTCAGGGTATATGCGGAGATAGCCAATCTCTTTCTCGCCCTTCCTCCCTCCCTCCTTTCTACTCTCTCTAAAAATCAATGGAAAAAATATCTCAGGTAGGGAATTAAAAAAAAAAAAGATTCTTGGATTACACTATCCAATATGGTTAGCAGCAGCCATGTGTGGTTAGTCTGAATTGAAAGGTGTGATAAGTGTAAAATACACACAATATTTTGAAGACTGTAGTGCCCCCAATGCAGGATATTTTATTAAAAATCTTATTTTAAAAAAACCTTTTAAGCCTGGCCTATGTGGTTCAGTGGTTGAGTGTTGACCCATGAACCAAAAGGCCCCAGTTTGATTCCTGGTCCAGGCACATGCCCAGGTTGCAGGCTCAATCCCCAGGAGGGAGCATGCAGGAAACGGCCGATCGCTGTTTCTCTCATTGAGGTTTCCATCTCTCTATCTCTCTCCTTTATTCTTTCTCTAAATAATCAATGAAAACATTTTTTAAAAAAACTTTTAAAAATTAAATGTATTGATGTTGACACTGGTTAACAAAATTATACAGGTTTCAGGTGACCAATTGTACAACACATCATCTGTATACTGTTTGTGTGTTCATCACCCCAAATCAAGTCTCCTTCCATCAACATTTATCTTCCCTATACCCTACTCCATCTCCCCCCGCACCCCCTCCACAGGCAATCACCACACTGACGTCTGTGTCCACGAGTTCTTCTCTTTTTTTCTTTTTTGCACAATCCCTCCACCCCCCAAATCCCCTCCCTTGACATCTGTCAGCCAGCTCTGTGAGTCTGTCTCTACTATTATCCCATGTACTGATGAACACTTAGCTATTTCCAAATCTTGACTGTTGTAAATGACGCTGCAAAGAACATATGTGTGCATATATTATTTTGAAGTAGTGTTTCAATTTTCTTTGGAAATATTCACAGAAGCAGGATTGTTGGATAATAATTACATTTTTATTTTTTGAGGTAACTCCACACTGCTATCATCTATGGCTGTACCAATCTACATTCCCACCAACAGTACACAAGGGTTCCCTTTTCTCCACATCCTCACCAACACTTGTTTGATTTATTGATGATAGTCATTCTGACAGGTGTGAGGTGATATCTCTTTGTGGTTTTAATTTGCATTTCTCTGATGATTAGTGACATTGAGCATCTTCTCATATGTCTATTGACCATCTCTATGTCCTCTTTGGAGAAGTATCTATTCAGGTCCTTTGCCCATTTTTTAATTGGATTGTTTGGGGGTTTTTTGGTATTGAGATTTTTAAGTTCTTTATAAATTTTGGATATTAACCCCTTAACAGATATATCGGTGTATATGTTCTCCCATTCAGTGGGTTGTCTTTTCATTTTGTTGATGGTTTCCTTTGCTGTGCAAAAACGTTTGTTTGATATAGCTGCATTTATTTGTATTTTCTTTTGTTTCCCTTGCCTGAGTAGATATATCAGAAAAAAATATTCTATGAGAAATGTTTGAGCTTTTACAGCCTATGTTTTTTTCTAGAATTTTTATGGTTTCAAGTCTAACATTTAAGTCTTTAATCCATTTTGAGTTTATTGTGTATGATGTAAGAAGGTGGGCTAGTTTTTTTTTTCAGCTTCATTATAACTTTAATTATTTATTATTCTCAGTTATAAATTTCTTTTTCCAGTTATGAAAATCCTACCCATTCTTTGAGACATCCCAAATAATAATAGCTAACATGTATTAAGCTGCTGTTATATGCCAGCACTATTCTGATACTTGTTGGGATTATTCCATTGATTTCTCATGAGAAGTCTGTGAGATCCATACAAATATTATTATCCCTATTTAAAAAATATGGTTATTTATTTCAGAGAGGAAGGAGAGGGAAAGATAAAAACATCAATGATGAGAGAGAATCATTGATTGGCTGCCTCCTGCATGCCCCATACTGGGGATTGAGCCCGCAACCCTGGCATGTGCCCTGACTGGGAATCAAACCACAACCTCCTGGTTCATAAATTGACACTCAACCACTGAGCCAGGCCAGCTGGGCTTATTATTTCTATTTTAAAGATAAGCAAATCAAGGCTAAGTACGTTGCCCAAGATCATATAACCAGTAGGTGATAGAGCTAGGATTCACATCCGGGCAGTTTAATTCCTATGTGTTCCAAGAATTTTTTTTTTCCTTAACTATCATCTCCTTCCTGAAGTCTTTTCTGATCCTAGCTCATTTTCCTCCATTTGCTGGGTGGGCTAGTTTTATTTTATTTTTTTGCATGAGTCTGTCTAATACTCCCAACATCATTTTCCAGGCACATGCCCAGGTTGCAGGCTCAATCCCCAGGAGGGAGCATGCAGGAGACGGCCGATCGCTGTTTCTCTCATTGAGGTTTCCATCTCTCTATCTCTCTCCTTTATTCTTTCTCTAAATAATCAATGAAAACATTTTTTAAAAAAACTTTTAAAAATTAAATGTATTGATGTTGACACTGGTTAACAAAATTATACAGGTTTCAGGTGACCAATTGTACAACACATCATCTGTATACTGTTTGTGTGTTCATCACCCCAAATCAAGTCTCCTTCCATCAACATTTATCTTCCCTATACCCTACTCCATCTCCCCCGCACCCCCTCCACAGGCAATCACCACACTGACGTCTGTGTCCACGAGTTCTTCTCTTTTTTTCTTTTTTGCACAATCCCTCCACCCCCCAAATCCCCTCCCTTGACATCTGTCAGCCAGCTCTGTGAGTCTGTCTCTATTATCCACCCATGTACTGATGAACACTTAGCTATTTCCAAATCTTGACTGTTGTAAATGACGCTGCAAAGAACATATGTGTGCATATATTCTTTTGAAGTAGTGTTTCAATTTTCTTTGGAAATATTCACAGAAGCAGGATTGTTGGATAATAATTACATTTTTAT